ACATACATTTCTGTTGTGCATTAAACTGCATCTGGACTATCCTATATTTACATGGGTTTTTACTTGTGTCCATATGTTTTCCATCTGGGAAGGTTCTGGATTCTAAAAAAAAAAGAAGACAGGCTTATTGTTACAAAATACGAATTATTTAATAGCTATGCAGAGCCCAGTCCTGCACACCTGCTGCATCTAAAGTCAATGAGGTTGTATGTATGTAAGAACTAGGGGCATTAGTGACTGATATGTACAAACAAAAGGACCAATCCTGCAAAGTGTTGATTGACTGCAACACGGACTGGTTTATTTGGGTGCTAAGAACACTCAGCACCTTACAGAGTCAGGCCTTTAAATAGTATGGGATGGTCTAATGGTCAGAATGCAGGCCTGGCCATTAGGAAATGGTGATGTCTAATCCTAGTGCTGACATCAACTCCCTTAGATACTTAGGGGTTGATTTTCAGAAATGCTGAGCACCTGCAGGTTCAGCTGGAGTTACGGGTGCTCAGCATTTCTGAAAATCAGGCTGTAACCTCTCTTGACTCTGTTTCTTCATTATTTTGATACCTTGACACTGTGGTAGGGGGTGTACTAGAAATTCATGAACAGATTCTGTGGATAAAGACAGATCTGTAAAACGGGGATAATACTTAACTGCCACACAGCGGGTGTGTGAGGATTAATAGGTTAATGTTTGCAAAGCACCTTGAAGATGAAAAGTGATAAGCCTTATTACATCTGGTGTGCACAGTAAATGAGAACATAGAACAGGATCCTGATCCCAGGCTCTAGCCATTAGGTACACAGCATCACTGAGGATATATCTACACAGCCTGTGGAAGTGAGCCTCCCAGCCGAAGTCAACAGACATGGGCTAAAGGGGCTCACAATAGCGCTCTAAAAACAGCTGTGTAGTGAGTGCTTTGAAACTGTGGCTTGGGCAGGAGCTAAGGCTCTGAACCTAGGGAGAGTGAGCTTCAGAGCCTGAGCCACAACTTCAAAGTGCTGTTGTCTACACAGCTTTTTTTAGAGCGCTAGCATGAGACCCGGGCTGGGAGGCTCACTGCCATGGGCTGTAAAGACACACCTCAAATGTCACAGCAAATCAAGCTCTGAAAGGTATTTTAATCTCACACAGCCAAATCTTACAGTTTACCGTGAACGGTCCCTTATAACATGTGCTAACTATTTATACTAAACTATCTATTCAATCTTGTATTTAGCTAGCACACTTCTAGTACCTTTCCCAGACTTGAAGAAGAGCTCTGTGTAGCTTGAGAGCTTGTCTCTTTCATCAACAGAAGTTGGTCCAATAAAAGATATTACCTCACCCACCTGACAATCTAAGGTCACACTCAGTCAGAAATCCCCTTCGTGTCCACTGGATGCCATGACAGAGCCAGACGGTAACATTTCACATGGTCTGCATATTTTGCTATCATTTCTTGTGCTGTTTTTATTCCACTTAAATTTGCTTCTCTCTCATTCTTATGCACATGTCTTAGAGACACTGGTCAGTGAAACTTGCACTGAACTGTGCCAGCTGGAGCCCACAGCCTGTGCAGGAACCTAATCTCTTAAATGGACTTTGATTACTCAACTCACTGTAACTCAGGTCCTGCCCCCACTGAGAATTTATGATAATTGCAGGCAATATTCACAGACAGGCCAAGCACTGAAGGACAGGAGAGAGAGAGAGTGTGTGTGTGTGTAAAGTAAAAAACCTGGTCCTGAAATGCCTATTTAGCCTCCAGAGCTACAAATCTGCATCTTTCACCAACACAAAATCCACTGGATCCCAAATAACTCCTCAGTCCCTCCCAGTTTGCCCTCCAGCTTGTGGAATCCTTTCCTGCTCTACCACTATGTGAACATCTAACAGAGAAAAACCTCAGATTTCTTGCCCTGTAAAACCCACCTAAGAAGCACCATTTCCCTCTGCCCCTCCAGCTGGGTATGCAGAATGTCAGTGAGATCTGAGCATAGGAGCTAGGCATGTCTGTTTTTCTATTGTGTTTGCTTCTTGCAGCTGGTAAGATTCATTCCCAGTCCCACCAGACTGATACTCTCATTACCCTCAGAAGGTTTATCCACAGTTTTGTAATATGAGCATCAATATTGAAATAACTAGAATGATGGATTCCAACACCAAAGGACTCTGCAGGCCCCTTCCAAGGCAGGTGACCTGGTTATCATACACTTTACTATGTGGGGAGCTTTCAGAGGAAGCCTTGAATCCATGGATACTGCCTGCTCTGCATGGACATTATAGATTCATAGATTCCAAGGCAAAAGGGACCATTTTGGTCATCTAGTCTGATCTCCGGTATAACACAGGCCAGAGAACTTCCCAAAAATAATTTCTACAGCATATCTCTTTGAAGAACATCTAGTCTTGATTCAAAAATTGTCAGTGATGGAGAATCCACCACAACCATTGGTAAAGTGTTCCAATGGTTAATTGTTTTTGTCTGTTAAAAATGTACAGTTTATTTCCAGTCTGAATTTATCTAGCTTCAACTTCCAACCATTGGATCTTTTTATACATTTCTCTGATAGACTGTAGAGCCCATTATTAAATATTTGTTCCCCAGGTAGGTACTTATAGACTGTGATCAAGTCTCCTCTTAACCTTCTCTTTGTTAAGCTAAATAGATTGAGCTCCTGGAGTCTATCACTATAAAGCATGTTTTCTAATCCTTTAATAACTCTTGTGACACTTCTCTAAACCCACTCTAATTTATCAACATCCTCTTGTATTGCTGGCACCAGAACTGAACACAGTATTCCAGCAGTGGTCACACCAGTGCCATATGTAGAGGCAAAATAACCTGTTTACTGCCACTTGAGGGTCCCCTGGTTATGCACCCAATGAGCACATTAGCTCTTTTGGCCACAGTGTCACAGTAGAAGCTCATGTTCAGCTGATTATCTCCACTACGAACCCCAAATCTTTTTCAGAGTCACTGCTTCTCAGGGTAGAGTCCTTCATCCTGTAAGTATGGCCTACATTTTTTGTTCCTACATGTATACATTTACATTTAGCCATATTAAAAGGCATAGTGTTTGCTTGAGCCCAGCTTGATCACTCTATATCAGTGACCTGTCCCCTTCATTATCTACCACTCCCCCAATTTTGGTGTCATCTGCAAACTTTATCAGTGATGATTTAATGTTTTCTTTCAGGTTATTGATACAAATGTTAAATGGAGTAGGGCCAAGAAGATCTTGGCACTTTTCACAAGAGTCAGGGTTTCCCAAACATTTCCCAAACCCCACACCTGATGCTGTACAGCCTGACTGCTGCCCTCCACCCCAAAGGTGACTGGATTCTATGGGTACTGTGGCCATATGGTTTGTAAACAATGTTTGGATAAAAGGCACTCGGTGAATGTTGGAGAAGGTGAGCCCAGTTCTGCTGTTTTCTTCCAGAGGTACTTTCCACTCAACTCCCTTGCATCCTTGAATCATCAGATCAGTTTAAATGAGTAAATGTAATGAGATTCCATGCATGTGTGTGTAGCAATTAAACAAGGTTAAAGGTTGGGGATACAAATTCAATGCAGGCAGTGTCATTCTGAACACAAGGATGCTTTAAGCTTTGTGTGACTAAACAGTGACACCTACAGGCCACTCATGAAGAGAGTCAGGAAGGGAGATTAACTCAACTCTCTAGCCCAGACAAAGGTAGCAGCAATGTGACCACAAATCATGAGAGATAAGGGTCACATTTTCACCCCATATCATCTGCTGCTTTGGCCCTGGATTCAACGAGCATCTCTACTTGTCTGTGAGCGGGGAAAGTTTTTTTTTAATCATATTCCTGCCTAGCTTTAGGGGTTTGCCCTGTGGTCTTTGGCTTGCTATGGAGAGGGGCAGAAGTGCCATGGTAGCCAAAGTGACATTGATCGGGACAGAAGGAGGCAGAGAGGCTAGGTTGGCTGTAGAGGAGACAGTTCTGAAGCCCAAAGCCCCACAACTGTCTGGATTTGCATGAGCATAGCTGGTCATTTTAATCCATGCAAGCTTTTTAGATCTTGAGGGTCATGGGGAACAAATGGCTTGCCTTTCTCAGCTAAAAAAATGTGGTAATTCCTCACATTTTGGGGTGCTCCTCCCCCATTCACAGGAATGAGTCTTGTCCCCTGCTCAGGTAGCTTTGAGCACAACCAGCAGGAGCCAGGACCTGCAGCATGTGAACCTGCAGCAACAGGCTGTGCAGAAGTTCTAAGAAGTTCCTGGAAGAAGGAAACATCAGCACTCTGCCAAAGCTTTTGGCAGGGGGGAGAAACACACACACTGAGCTAGCAGGGCACAGCGACATCTGGCTGTGGGGGAACACAAGCAGTGTGGTGTGGATGAGAGGTGGATACACAGGCCATGTGGTGGGGAGCTAGCTGGGCTGTTATTAGTATGTAATGCTAAGGTAATTTTGTTAGCTCAGTGTGCACCCATTACTCCTGGTTACTCTGATAGGTGTATCCATGTGCAAGTATCAAGGGAACTCTTACATCTCTAATGTTGTGTCTGAAAATAATATTTTGGCCTTCTTCTTGGCCTCCACTCATAGCACATTTGCATCCTGCCTCCCTCCTCTCCCCCAAAGGCCCTCTCTCACCTTCCTTTGCTCACCCCCTGCTCAAATACAGCTCTTTCTGCAGCATAAAACCAAGGAGACCGAGTGGCTTCAGTCAAAAAAGAAATCCCATTCAGCATGCAGAGAGGTGTAGGATGCTCTAATGGTTAGAGCACCTGGATGGGCATCACAAGAGCTGGGTTCTATTTCAGGCTCTGATACTGACTTGCTTTTCCCTCTGTGCCTCATTTTCCCCATCTGTAAAATGGGAATACAGATGTTTCCCTAACTCACCCGGAAGTTTAACTCATTAATATTTGCAAAGCTTGGTGAGGTCTTTGGAAAGAGGGAATTAGAGATTGACACAGTCATATTATTATAACATGGTTCATCCTGCAGACTGAAGTAAAATAAAATGTTAGGCTGCTTACCGTGTCTGTAGAGACTTAAGGGGTTTGCTCCTAACTGAGCTCACGTCCAGTTCCAGAAATCTAGGGATATCTGGGAAACCAGCCTGGGACCAGAGCAGTGACACATGGGGTTTTGGAACGATAGGAAAACTGTGAGAGATGACATCGGTCCTCCATACTGACTCTATCTGGTCACAAACCTGCTCACTGCAGGAGCACAAGAACACAGTCATTTGGAAGCAATAAAAACTACTCAGCTACAAACCTATTAACACAGTAATGTGATGGGCCAAGCCATGGGCTCCTGACTCAACCCAGAATGTACAAACAAGTGCTAAAGCTAAGCATTTAAACCCATATTTAAGCACCGACATAAGTGGCCCAGTGTTCTGAGAACTTCAGTGGGAGATGGAAGTGAGAAGTGCCTCTCAGGATTAGACTCCAAAGGGAGTTTGCTTGAGTCAATGACAGGACTTGGCTCAGTAGCAATTGAGGTGCTCAGCAGGATTGGGCTTCAGCTGGTGGTTGACTGCCCTGGAGACTGAAGTCCTCTGCGTAGCCACAGAGCAAGTACAGAGAGGAAGGGAAAAGCTGAAACAGCCAAGATGGGAACAGAGGGTATGTCTTACTCTGGCTGGAGGTCTTGAAAGAGGGAAGACAGTGAAAAGGGGGAGAGGCCAAGTGGAATGCTGGGGCTCTTGGAGCTTGATTCTGGTAGAAGTTGAGCACCCTCAAAAGTCAGTGAGAGTTGTAGGTGCTCAGCCTCTTAGAGGAAGCAACCAGCACCTCACAGGATCACCATAATGAGGACCTGAGCATCAGACCACAATTTGGGGCTGTAGCAAGGCAGGGTGTGTTAATAAGGGCTGCCTTGAACATTTTCAGACCCCCATATACCTGACTCCAGCTGGATGCATAAAGTCTCTGACTTTCTTCACACTTGCCAGGGGGCTTGGATAGCCAGGGGATTTGGATCTGGCATGGGCTGAGGATGGGAACTCCTTCATTTCATCCACTGCTTTGATCACGAGTGGGGATGGGCTGTTGAGGTGGAGTTCAGAGCTCAGGCGGAGCTAATGGAACAACAAAGAAAAGGAGCTGTCCTCCTGCTGCCAGTGCTTCCCCTCTCCCTTCTCTCGCTCACATTCAGAAATAACCTGACTGAAATCAAAAGGGGCTACAAGGGATAAAACTGGGTTGGGGAGAGGAGAATCAGGTCCAATTAATCTATACACTGGTAATAATAAATAATAATAATAATAATAATAATATCTAAATCCTCTGCCAGTAGGAGTTTGTCTGAGTAAGAACATAAGGATTGGAGTTTGTAATCATTAGTAAAAGAATAGTAGAGATATTATAGTAATTATAGGCAAGTACCAAAGAGACAGTCCCTGCCCCAGAGAGCTCACAATCTAGCTATTAGGATGCAACAGATGGACACAGCAGACAAATGGGGTAGGGAGCGGATTTGATGGGACGAGGGAACAATAAATCAAAGGTTAGCATAAAATAAAAGCAGAAGCCTTAGTTCGCCACTTGCCTAACCAATGCCAGGTGACAGTGATATTTAGGCATCATGGCAGAGGTAGGTTTTATGGAGGGATTTAAAAGAGGAGAAGGTGGCACTTTAAATTTTTTTTTACAGGGATTTATTAATTATTTCAAATCCCAGAAAGCTGCCGAGCACCCACAACTCCTGTTGGCTTTTCTGGAGGCTACAGGCAGTGAGCATGCTACTCAGTATCAGGCATAATAACATTTTGCCTTTCTCCAGCTCCTTTCAATTGAAGGCAAAGTATTTATCTGGCCTCCATTACCATAGTACCTGAGCACCTAACAATCTTTAATGTATTCGTCCTCTGAGCACCCCTGTAGGGTAGTTATTATCCTGTTTGCAAATGGGTATCTGAGGCACAGCGATGCTAAGTGACTTGCCCAAGGTCACCCAGGAAGTCTGTGGCCGAGCAGGGACTTGAACCAAGTCTGAAACTAGTACCCTAATCTCCGGACCAGCCCTCTTCTTTGCAACCACAATTGATCCTCAACACCTTTCCCACTCCCTGGAAGACTAGGATTCAAGGATAGATGGGAAACATCAGTAAAGGTGACATCCACTCTTGTGCAGACAGTCAGAGCAAGGCTGATGCATTACTTAAGTTCCACTTATGCCCTTTGGGCCTTTGGCATAGGCCTTGTGCTGGCATTTCTGCACAGGGGAAATTTCACCCTAGCCCCTTAAACGCTGTTTTTCTGTCTTGTTATCCCATTGGATATTTCTAATTTTAGAAACAAAAGTGACCAATAAAAACCAAGGGCCACACTCTTCTCTTGGTTATGCCAGTCATGTCAGCAGGATCATCTGTGGGAACCAAGAAGAGAACTTCGCCCAAAAGCTCACCTGGGCAAACAAGGAAATCATCTTGCCAAGGCAGTGTCGACGTGTCTGCTCTGCTGTTTTCTGTTTGGCCACCCAGCACTGTAGCACCTTTTTCCGGTAAGCATCCACCCTCTCCACATATGTATACAAGTTCCGGACCTCAGCACCATTATTTACAGCTCTGGCAGCTTCCAATCTGGACATTAAGGTTTGTCTTGGAATAGAAAGAAAAGGAATTAAATTATGAGAAATGTTTCTTCTCCACAATAGAACCTATTTACGTAGTTTGATTTGTGTTAGCAGGGGAGTGGGGAAGGATATGCAAACTGAGGGGTGCTTTGGATGTAAGGTTCTGTCTAGCCATACATCCAGCCATCTCAGTTTTTCTAATGCCCTATTATCTTAATTTCTAGATGTTGAAGTACCTCATTTGCATCTCTTTTAATTAGAGATGGTCCAGACCACAACCCTGTATCCAAGACTTTCGACCTTTGGGGTGTTTGAAATCCAAACCCAAGGACTGTGGCTTGAGTTCATCACTACCTTTTTTCCAAAATTCACGGTTGGGGGTGGGATGAATGGTTCTGGCTTTGACCCATCTGTAATTTTGAGGCCAGGTTTTTCTGTCAGATCTGTACAAAGGATCTCAGCCCTGATATTTCGGAGCATGGAAACCCCACTCAGATCACTAGGTGATGAGACCACATGTAGTTTCCTTTGTGCTGCTTTGAGCCTTTATCTTCCAACCCTCCAAAAAAAAAAAAAAAGTTTATAAGCTAATTTGATTGATTTTTGGGACAAATCCCAAGAGGCACCAACCACCCAGAACTGCCATAGAAGTAAAGGAAATGGTCTGTCTATTGCTGAGCTAGGTCCAAATCCCGAGAGATGCTGAGCACACTTTGCACAATCCTGTCTGACTGAGATCAATGAGAGTTTGACCACTGAGCTCAATAGAAGCAGACTTTAATGAGTGCTACACATGCTCAGCACCAGTCAGGATCTGATCCACTGGACCCCATCCTGGCTACCCTGAGGAACACCCGAACAAAGAGGCTGCAAAGCAGCTGTCCTTTGGAGAATACCCTGGTGCAAGACGTTATTTGAGCTCTTTCACAAAAGCCCCAGGTGGAGAGATATTCCAGGGTGTGTTTGTGTCTGTGGCAAGTCATGGAAGGGAGGGGGCATGAACCAGGTGTGTCTGCACCTTACTTATTCCCCAGCTGCCACAAGGCCTGTGGTCTGAGTAAGGGCTTAGTAAGGACCTCAGGATTTGTCCCATTGGCTTCAATAGGAATTTTGCCTGTGTAAAGACTGAGCAAAGTCTTGCTCTCACTGAACTCAATGGACAGGCTCACATTGGCTTTGATGGCAGCAGGAACAGGTCCTTAGCAAGGATTTGGCCCCACATGGATAACAGTAGTCTGCATATGTTGGTACCTGACATGCTGGAGGTGGCAGAAGGAGATGTATTTGTGGAAGAGGAGAGCCAGCCTCTCAACATCAGTGTGCAGGGTCTCAGTGATAACCTCCTT